CTTGTAAAGCTTAGGTATAAATTACACCAAGTTGAGGCTAGTTCACCAAGAAACCTCAACTCCTACGGAAGTGGAACTAATGGCATCTGATTCAATCCAACTTCTTCATCACAGGATTTCTGTCATGGCCTTAGAATTTCCGGTTTAACATAACAATGACACAATTACTTGTAGTATAATTCTATATAACCTAGTCCAGAATTTTCTCCCCGGTCGCAAAGAAATTCCACACTAATGTGCCTATGATGTACAACCCAACGGCCACTTTGAATACGTCGTCCCAAGAACCTGAAGGAATATCAATTCAAGAATCAAACGTTCGTGCCCGTGCGGCAAGCTATGTACAGTGGATAATCTTATGGGGAATTGAAATATAGAGTAAGTTTGGTCCTACTAGTGTGGGCATATTGCACACACCTGATTTTATCCATCAGATAACACACAGTCACAAACACACGCTGACACACCCGCATAGACATGTGTTCGATCCAACGGTTAAAAATCCCGTGTGGGCAGTTAGGATGAAATTCACCGAACAATAGAAGGATCCTAAGATTTGATCGTAGTACATATAGACCTAATCAAGGTTTGCAAAGACACTTATTGATGTTTCCTTAGAGAAACCCCCATTGAGTGTTCATCTCGAATAAACGAATATCAATTTGTAATTAACCTGTTTCAAGGTTAAGGACACTTGGGGATCTTTTTTATCCATGTATCTTTTTATTTATTTATTTTTTTTTTTTTAAGAAAAGGAGTACAAGTTAGGTTGTACCTTCTTGGAGTATGTATCCAGTAGCAGCAGTGCCAAAGACACCAGCAAGTACACCTGCAGTATTTGACAGACCCAACAGTACTCCCTGCAACAGATACCAACATTAGGATATCAAAATTAGCAAATCAAAGTTTTAAGAAAGAACATTCAATAACAATTTTTTCTTTCCCGTGAAACAAAAACTGAAAACAACTCACCGAGTAACGTGGTCCGATATCTTGGTGATTGGAGTATAATCCGGATTGTGAGAATGCATCCAGTCCCTGCAAAATAGCAACAGAAAAAAAATGTACTAAGCTATGAATTTAGAAGTAGATTATAAAAAAGGGTAAGAATATGACAAGAATATGTACTAAACCTGACTGCATGCCATGCATAGCACGGCTACGGCAGGCGTATTGACATGACTGAGTTGCGTCAAGAAAAAGGCTGGACCTAAAAACCCAATTGACTGCATTATCTGTGACAATCAGAAATTTAAGAGAATTAATTTAAGAAAATACCCAGTTGAGGTTTTTATTTGTTATAATCAGCACTGCCTCAAAACACGCGATTCGTAAAAAGGAAAAAAAAAATATTTGGAAGTAAAAACCTTCGGCCAAAAGTTTTCTTTTGAAATTTATTTGTTTGCGATCAATTACGAGCTATCATGTAAATGGAAAACGAAAATCATTTGCTTGCCTTACGAACTGACGTGACAGAAAGTCCTCTGCTCACGAGAGAATCAGCAATCCAACCACCGATATTAGCAAACACGGCCATAGTCAGCCATGGAAGCACGCAGAACAGTCCAGATTCCGTGAGGTTGAACTTCAAAACCTATGTAGGCCAAACAGGAGAAGGAGAAACAGCTAAAATTACTGGATAGTTAACAGAACGTATATGTTCATTGACTATGAGTACCTGGTTGTAATAAGTAGGCATCCATGTCAAAAGAATAAACGTTCCCCAATTATGGCAGAAATGGGAGATAATAAGGGCCCAGACAGGTGCCTTTGATAGGATTTTTTTCCATGGGATTTTGGAAACAGGTTCCTTCGATATGCTGCCTCCCAGAATCAGTTCTTTTTCCTCAGGACTGAGTGTTGGATCTTCTTTAGGCGAGCTATATGCCTAAAGTAGTGAAAATTCAAAGGTTTCAAATTATTAGAACACGATTCATGCAGTTAAACAACATCAAAGTTTTGAAAGATACAAATGATAATATCCAGTCTATGGCTCTTTCTCTGGTTTTTAAAGCATCAGTCCCCATCAGAAATTGAGGCAGAATAGAAGTGGGCCTTACTTTGCTCAACCATAGTGCAAACCAGATACTTCCAAGTGATCCAAATGAATAGAAAATAGACGGCCATCCGAATTTGTGGATCATAACGGGTGAAATGGCCAAACCAGTAACTGATCCAAGATACATCCCGCTGTACACTAGAGCAAGAGATCTGCTTCTCTCAGAGACGGGAATCCATTTTGATAACAAATTGTTCATAGCAGGCATAGCAACACCCTGATTAACAAAGAAATCATACCANGGGTCTTAAATTATTGCATCCTGGTCTGCTCAGGCAGAAGTTCAAGAAAGCGGTTGAGCCCTTAATCACAGAACTTTGTCTTGGAACAGCTTATTTGGAAATTGTATGATCCATATAATTTAAAATACACAGAGACATCAAGAACAGCAACACATAGTACAATTAACTAAAACAAAAAATCGAGTTTGTTCAACCAGTGATTCTGAAGCTATCAATCCGTATGTTGAGATGGTAAGATATACTATAAGCAAAACATACAGACTCTAATTACTTAAAGCAATATAGGTATCTGCAGTTTGTTTCAACAAATTTCAAGCAGCATACAGAAATTCTATGTGGAAGGCTATGAGCAGCTAACCTCGCCAATTCCCATGAAGGCGCGGACAACCAGTAAGAAAGGTAGCCCGATTCTGGCAGCAATAGGTGTCAGAACCGTAGCAACTGACCACCAAACTACTCCAAAACCAAGTACACGCTTCCCGCCTATTGTATCAGCCCATATACCTCCAAGAATCTATGTCCATGCAATGGGAAGAAACATATAAAAAAGAAATAAATGTCTTGGAGCAACCAGAGAGGCTGTAACTCGACATGCACTAATTTCTTTACATTATGTAGGTAATTCAAGGATAAGCTATGAACAATATACAATATGTATATTTGAAGTAAACATGTGACTGTCGGATTTTACAACATGATACAATTTGGTCATTGTATCAACTGCCATGACACGACCGTAAACTTGTCTTCTATTTTGCACTAGCAAAAATAATTTTTTAGTTTGAAGGAGTACCATACTGTACTTAAGGAACTTACATAACTCTAAATTTCACCAAGACAGAAAAATAAAGCAAACAACAAGAAATATTGGTGCAGTTTTAAACGTATAATAAGCAATAGAGGAATTCATGATGAAACAGAAAGGCAAACTGTATCAATCACCTTTTCAATTAATAACTTGCATAATAAACTATTAGTTTAGAAGGGCAGCTGAAAGCATTATAATGAGAAGCAATCAACTCAAGCCCTTAAAGGCTTCCGTGCTTGTTGACAATAAAAAACAACCTGTGTAAGCAGATAACCCCAGAAGAAAGAGGACTGAATTAGACCAACTGTTGCACTGTTCCAGTTGAATTCCTTTGACATCGGGAGAATTGCTATGCTCATGTTCACCTATAAAAACATCAAACTATTATCACAGATATCTGTATATTTTTTTTTTTTCTCATCTAAGCTAGTTCTACAAAATACATGCACAAGCACATGACTTCAAGTATTAACTTTGCCATTATCGGTAAACTTAAGGAAAGCATTCCAGGAATATAAATACATGGAAGCAAACATTGATCATTGGAGAAGTATGGTATATAAAGAGCCTTACACGATCCATGTTGCACAACAGAAATGCAGCAAAGCAAAGGAGCACCATCACCAGGCGCTTTGGGATCTGCTCCCACCAAGGTTTTGTTTGCTCGGCTTCTTCAACTATAAAAGCTTCAGTATTCCCCTCAGTTGGTGCTAGTGACTCCAGGTTAGGTCCCGTTATGTCTTGCTCTTCGGACTTGAAATCTGCTCTGGTCCTTGTCACTATTGAATGCTTTGATGTAAGCTTTTGACCATCAATAAAGCCAATACTATTCAAGTTCCTCGGCTGAATCCAGTTGCCATCACGTAGAGAAAAGCTGCAGCGGTGTAACCCACTAATTCTTCTCCTAGCATTGACGGCATTAATTTTTTTGCTGAGCTGGCAGCACATTGAGATAGATGGATCTAATTTAACATAATATGTTGAATTGGATCGATAAAACTCTCTGTTTGGCAGATCTCTAGTACGAAGAGATGAATGATATACATGGCCAGAGGAAAAGCTTCCACATGGATGATGATGCAGTTTTACATGCCTTGCAACAACTTTCAAGCGACCACCTCTTTTACTTTCTGTATTTGCTTCTCCATGACATAGTCGTCCTGGTAAGCACAAGAAAAAAAGAGGATGCATCTATAACAATCAAAAATACAATCAACAGTAATTATCCAAGTAGAGGATTGTTTATTATAATTCTACTACATTTAATGCACATAATTTCATGGCAGTTAATCGATTTTATGAAGTGAGAATTTAGTGATGTTATAACTTCACAGACATAGGATGTTACTCCTATGGTTTAAATAAGTATAAGATGTTTCCTCATTATGTTGAGTTGCTCATTCGCGAGCTTAAATTGTTGAACGCCAGCACGCATTTTGAAATACCTTGTATCACAGCCAAATTGTAGCTAAAAGGTAAGAAAATGAAAAATTCAAATGACATTTCATACATAGCAGTAAATAGTTTATAGTAATGCATGTTGTTCTGAAATGTAGCAAAAATTTACATCTCATTCTTTATTCCGAAACACACGAAGTATCTATGGTCACACGTAGACCAATAGTTGGATATTCTGCAACATCCACCAGAACAAAGCTTTCCAAACCTACATAGCAGCTCACTCAAGCACTATCCAATGCTAATTACTATCACTGAAACAAAGCTTGGAAACAGATATACCAGCTCAATCAAGCACTAAACAACTCTAATTAATACCATTGCAAGCGCATTTCTGAATGGACTTATCTGTTTAACGCAGTGAACAAGGAACAGGTTTACAATGCAACTTAAGCCTCAATCGCATATCATATAGTAAATGTCCACCGTAGTTGAAGACACTTATCCGCAAACAGAGCTTAAACTGAGTCTCATGAGCAGAAACAATCAAACAAACAAAGAAAAAAACTACTCCAACCACAGTAACGCCATAGACAGCAGAATTTTACCTGAACCGATGAAGGAGCCGAAATTCCGGTGCGAAACGACAGCGCCTATTGCCATTTTCACCGGAAAACTGCTGGTGTTGTGCTCAAGTTTTCATATCTTCAGATCTGAGAAGATTTTGTCGAACCTGTCTCGCTCTACTGTGGATATGTTATCTGGTAACCGGTGTTGCTCAACGAAGTTTTCAGCACAGGCCTCAGAATAAGATATTTTATTTATATATTATTTTATGTTAATTTTTATCTTCTTTTATTGGGCAAAAGCGGGAAATTGTAAGAGAGGGGCTCATATAGTGACACGTCGGATCATCTTCATGATAACGAAAGTACGATAATGCCCCTGGAGATTTTGCAAGAGTTTTGGGTTGGAAACTGAAATTCCGGGGTTTTGACGGGGTGGACAGGGAAATACGAGATTGATAATACTAAAATTTACCAAAATGACCTCATCATAAAACATTGAGACTAGCTAGATCTACAAGTTTAAAAAAAATTATGGAGTCATCCGATAGTTTAACCTCCTAATTTAACATCAATCTATTAACAAACAAGCCAGCGAGCTTGTGTTGTTTAACTTTTGTGTATGGAAGTTGAAAATTTTTACCACTTTGATTAAATGTTTGATAAATTAACGGGTTGTGGATGGATTGAGATACATATTTTAACCATTTTGGATTAAAATATTTGATAAAATATTATATAAGGTAGTTAGGCTTTTGATAAATTATTGTATGAGGAGTTAGGCTTGTAATCGAGATGAACCGAGCTCGAGCTCGGCTCTTTTATCGCTATTAACGAGCTAATTTCAAGTTTGAACGAGTCGAACTATGAAAAATTATATTAAAATTCTCTTTTTGAGCCTTCGGCACGTACAAACGTTTTTGGCACGTTTTTGGCGGGCCCCCAAGAAAGACACTTTGTGATACCGTTGGGTTTATCATGTTTATTTAAGGCAAAAATCCATTTGGGAATGGACTATCCACAATAGTGATTCGCCTCTTTCCAAGAACCTCTATGATATTCAGAATCTAATGCTTGAAAAGTTGGGTAGTATTTAAGCCGCCGAGACCGCTTTAAATCTTTGGCACTCCAAATCCCGCTCCAAGGGGTCCTCATGCGTTTACGATTTCTTCCGGTCCAATGGTTCACCCGTCCCTTGGAAGGGAGTAGTTTGGGGGTCCGCCAATACCCTCAAATACGCCTTCATCCTTTGGCTTGCAACGCTCGGGAGGCTCCGAGCCAAGGATAGGCTTGACTTCCTTGATATCGACCTTACTTGTGCCTTTTGTGGGGAAGCTTCCGAGACCAAGGATCATCTATTTTTCACTTGCCCCCTTTCGGCTCAAGTTTGGGTTGGTATCCGACATTGGCTAGGATTGAGGAGACAACTCTCCACACTAAAGAGTGCATTGAATTGGATTAGGAAGGAATCCCAAGGCTCCGGTTGGAGAACAAAAACAAGGAAGGCCAGGCTCGCGGCAACGGTGTACTTTCTTTGGAATGCTCGGAATAAAAAGATATTCGAAAATGAATTACTTTGTACCCGAATGTCCTTGCCGAAATGGAAAGAAAAGCCATCGGAAATGGCTAGGCGAAGCCTCCTTAAGGTGCGTATGATTAGATCTATAATCATTTTGATTAGGGTTTCATTTTGATATAGGGTTTCACTTTGGTTTGAGGTGAGCAACCGGCTTGTGGTTTGCCTCTCATTATTTTGATTAGCGAGTGAGGAGCCGAGATTGTGGTCGCTCACTTTGTTTTCGTATGCCATGTGACGGTCGATGTAACATCAATTTTGATCTATAAAATTTATTTTACCGATAAAAAAAAAAAAAAAAATCTCTTTTTGAGCCTTATCGAGCCGAGCCGAGCCTGAACTTGTTAATCAAATGAGCTTTAAATGAGCTTGAACTCGACTCGTTAAGACCTTGAATTAGAGTCGAATTCAAGCCGAGCTCGAGCCGACAAACCAAAGTCGTTTAATTTAACAGCACTAAAGATAGCCTAGCCGTTCGTCTATCCGTCACATTCATTTTAACAAAAATGAACCCAACCTTTTGAAAGTATATATATCTAATGATAAATCATAAAAGATGTCAACCCAACCATCACATCTACAAAACAACTTTACTCAAAATGTTTTGGGTGAGTGATTTTTTATTAAAGTTGTAATCGTCCATTGTAAACGATTTTACAGTAATCAACACTCTATTTGCAATATGAAAACAAATACATAAAGAAAAATGCAAATCACATGCTGCACTTGAGGGTTAATATTTTTTATTGTTCTCGAACTCATTTTTCGATTTTATTATGAAGGGGTTGCAACTTGCAGGTAGTTTAATTGCGATAAGTAAGGGCATGCTTGTTTATGAAATAATTCATTTCACACTCAAAATCTAATTCAACTTTAACTCAATTTCACTATCATTTATATTATTTATATAATTAAATATTATAAACCAATCATTCTTACATATCACATTAACTTTAATTTATTATTCATCCACTCATATAATTTTAACTACCTATCATTTTCAATCATTTTTCTATCCTACTTTTACATCAAATCATTAATAATCATTTTATTTTAAATATTATTTTAAAATATTATTAAAATCCCACTAACAATTAACTATATTACTTTTTTTAAAATTAACTCTAGTTAACTAAAATAACTCATTTTGAATGAAATATTTCATAAACAAGCACACCCTAAGGAAACTGACATTTAAAAATGAAGGCCAAACGACAATAATCACAACACTCATACCAGTCTCATTTTACAAGCACAGCCAACATAGTTCCAACACAAAGGCTAAGATACCAGAAGAACACAACAAAAGTAGCTAAAATAGACTCAAATCCTCTTAAGAATATTAAATAACATCACATGCAAGACAATCACAACTTTTCACATTTCACAAGCAAATTCCCACAGCAGGACAAGAATGCGCCTCTGCTCGCTATTTAGTTGCTGCTCTTGAAAGGGATGGCCCTGATGATAACCTGGTGATAGAGAGCAGCAAGTGCAGCTCCAATGAAAGGCCCAACCCAGAAGATCCACTGCAATAAAACCCACAAGAAACGAATAAATTTAGTTGAGCAAGTTTTCTCTTGTTCTCCCAATTATGGACAAACGGCTCATTATAAAACACAAAAGGAATGAGAGATTTTGCTTAATTATAAAGGTCAAATTATGCTTTAAACTACGAGTACAGTCCAGAAGGTTGGAGGGGTGATGATATAGTAAGACAATTCGGATTATCATAAGGAAAATAGGAATTGCAGAAAGTTTTTTCTTGATTATTTCTTAAAATGGATGTATAGACATGAGCTTACGTGGTCATCCCATGCGTGATCTCTGTTGAATATGATAGCAGCACCAAGGCTGCGGGCAGGGTTAATGCCGGTGCCGGTAATGGGGATGGTGGCCAAGTGAACCAGAAAAACGGCAAATCCAATGGGAAGGGGAGCCAAAAGCTGCAATTTTTACAGATTACTGAAAATGTTAGCACACTGGTAAATGCAGTGTAAGAATCCGTGCTCAAATTCGACATTTAAACTCGGTAAATTCTGTCAACGCTTGAAAGTAACCAAAATATGCACAAACCTTAAACGAGTTCACTGTACACGTAACCTACGGAGTTAGATACAGAATACCACAATAGATAAGTTATATATCGTTGTTAATGAAACCCAAAAATTCAAAAAAAAAAATAAAAAAATAAAAGATCTCCAGCAAGATAGAATTTAGCTGTTATCACACCATTACTGCTTTCAAGAAATCCTATAATCTAGCCCTTAATCTCAATATTGATCTCCAAATCTACCAAAATTTGGGCCTTTAAACAGCTAAAAAATTTGCAAGCATTTCGGTTACATCACTAAGGCATGAAAATCGTGATACACTAAGTAACTTACAGGGACATGAGAGTCTCGGGCATTTCTCTTGGCATCAGTAGCCGAGAAGACGGTGTAGACAAGGACAAAAGTGCCGATGATCTCGGCACCAAGGCCGCTGCCCTTAGTGTAGCCATGGGCAACAGTGTTGGCACCTCCACCATTAGCCTGGTAGAAAGAAGGCTGGAAGCCCTTGACAACACCAGCACCACAGATGGCACCAAGGCATTGCATCACAATGTAGAAAATCGCCCGAGTAAGAGACAGTTTCCTTGCAAGGAAAAGACCGAATGTCACAGCAGGATTTATGTGCCCACCTGAAGGAAAGAAACAAAAGCATTCCAACCATCTATAAATTAGTACATGAATTACTTCCATTCAAGAACAAAACTGAAACCAGAAACAGGGTAGAAAGGAAATCTCGTTTCGGATATGAAGTAGAATGCCTTTGGTTTTTCTCTAACTATATTGATTTTTTTTTTTTTTTTATGTAGCATGACAAGATAATGGGAGTTTAAAGCCGGTAAAGCAAGAAAATCCTCTACAGCTTAGAACTCGAGGCCAAACACCTTTCATTGAAACAAAAAACTTCTCTAATATTTACCTAGTGTTATAATTATAACCAACTACCCTTGTTGAGGTTTGTATGATGGTATAGTATACAAGTCCTTGATTCTGGAGTTTGTAAAAACAGAACCAAACTGTCAATGAGTATTGTTGCAGTAATTAGAATGAATCTCATGCGTAACCTTTAATTAAACCCTAGGAAGATTATACCCAATGGCCATAGTAGAAACTTTAAGGTCATTTTTTCAGATAACAAATGGTACATGCATTTAGAAGAAGAATGAACTTCACAAAAGGAAAAAGGATAAAAAAGAAACTTCAGGTAGATGAAACAAGGGTGCATCTCAGACTTCAACAAACTCCCAAAAATCAGCAGCAACACCACAAAATTCACAAGATTCCTTTACAGTAACAAATACAACACACACACACACACACACAAATCACAAATTACACAGATCTACAGCCAGAAAACATTACTAGAAATTCCAGCAGTAGCACGACAAAATTCAAATTATTCCTTTACAGTACCATACACAACACACACACACACACACACACACGCACGCACGCACGCATTCACAAACTACACTGAGCTATAGACAGAAAATTCTTACCGGAAATCCCAGCAGTGCAGTAAACAAGGGCGAAAATCATTCCACCAAAAGCCCAAGCAACCCCCTGAATCCCAACCGTCGAGCACTTGCTCCCGGACCTTGAGAGCCCCATCACCGTCAAGATCGTGATGTAGAGGAACAGGAAAGTGGCCATGAACTCTGCTATGCCGGCCCTCCAGAACGACCACGACTGCAGCTCGCCGGGCTCAAACAGCGGCGCCGGAGGCGCCTCCTTGTAGTCCTTGGTCTGGGCCGAGGTCCCTAGCGGCTGTCGCTCGGAGAATTTGTTCGCGCCAAGCCTGACGTCCTCCTCTTTCCCCTCCATGTCCCTAGGTCTCTCTCTCTCTCTCTAGTTTCTCTCTCTAGCTCTGAGCTGCTTTTTTTTCGGTGAGGTGGTGATTGTGGCGTAGATAGTGGAGAAGGTGATAGTGTGCTTGCTTTATAGTGGCAAAAGATAGGATTGTGGGGCAAATGTGCAATAATTTCGGGCCTTTTCTAATTATATTAACATGTGATGCCCTTGGGCTTTGTCTGTATTGGCATTGTGACCCTCCTACTTCTCCTTCTTTGAGTTCTTCCACTTTGGAGTTTAGACTTGTCATTTTAAGNCTTTTTTTTTTTTTTTTAATTTGAAAATCTCCAATTACAATTGTCAAGATGCATCATACAAATGCAACTAATAAGGCTCATTGAGTATTTTAGACTTATAGAGAATTGGGATTTAAATACATCAAATAATTTTAACTTTATATCATGTGTACTTAGATAATAAAATTTCTCTCCGATTGTCATATAATCTATGAACTATATATAATGCATGTGATGGATGGCTAGAGTTGTTTTGTAGCATTTTATTATATAATTTAATTGCAAATGCTAAATAAAGCAACTATCAAATTTAACCGTACAAAAAAAAAAATAATAATAATAATACACATTTAGTAAATTCACAAAATTGCATTGAATGACATTTAAAATGTATTAAGCAATAAAGATTAAGTTAAATCAATCACCTTCTTGTTGTGGGTAGCTCTTAAAATTATGTTTAATCACTCACCATCTCGTTGTAGAACACTCTAAATTTGACTAAACACTATATATTAGTCGAAAATTATTATCATTCATAAAATGGTGTTGTATATTTTGTGCAATTGACAGTACATGATTGAATTGCATGTTAATCATAAATAATCTAATTATTATGCCAAGGGATAAATATTTACATTTCTCTTTTATCAAAATCCACAATTTAAATGTGTAGATGAAATAAGCTTTGAGGGTGTTCATCCTTGTGAACGTTGTGGATTTCACAGCCTTTCATTTGTATGCTTCTACTACATGGGTCAAAATGTAAATAATTTCATATAAATGGTGCGGAAGACAATTTTTTTGAAAATGTATGAGAGGAGGGCCAGGAGGCGAGACAAATGACAGGCAATGGGGGCAGTACTGCATTTTATTATTTCAAAAATATTTGATCCCATAATCTACTATTCTTTTTGTTTTCACCCGTAGAGTTAATCCAAATTACGATTGGTTGCTCAACAGTCAACATATTACATATGTAGACAAATTGATACAAATAAAACTTTACAGGGAGGATGGGTTGAAACAAAATAAATAGATAAAGGATGATCTGGAAATAATAAATAAAAAAAAAATATGTGGATAGCATGTGATTGACGGCCATTTGAACCGTTAAATAGGCCCACCTCAAAAGTATAAAAAATAGAGACGTTAGCTTTTGAAAAACCACAGACCAGTAGCCACGGGTACACGTGTCACGTGCTACCCATGAAGCACAAAATCACACACGCCTTTTTCACATTTTAAAATTTTAAATTAAATATTATGACTTGAAATAAAAATAATAGAGGATATGTTATTCCTCGAGCATGCATAAATGCTACTACCTCCTGTTTGTTTATTTTTAAATGTCTTTTTGGCTTTATCAACTATTATCTAAATAATTGTCGTTTTAGATTTTTTATACATATTTTTCTATTATTACCTTCATTTAGTTAATAAATACACTACGTGTTTTCATATTCACTCTTCATTTTTTTCAAAAACATCATTTTCTATCTTCATTAAAGAGGGTTATTATTGACAAAAAAAATATCTTTAATTAATGTGCAACTTCTTAAAACGACACTTATTATGAATAGGAGGGAGTAGTGTATAAGCAGTATTTTTGGTTTCCAAGTGGACAAATATATGTTCACATTTAATAAGTTTTGAATAATATATACTAATTGCTAAATGAAATAGGCCATTTGTGATTTTTAGCTCGAAATGAATTTGTTCAGAGTTGTGAATAAGGGTTTTTAAGTATATTTTTTTTAAAGAAAATCCATTATCCAGACTAACTTATTAAACTTATAATTTAACTCTTTCATGTTGATAAAAGAATTGAATTCGAACTCATTTGTCTGTTCAACTTGACAAACGTTTGAATTTCAGTTTACTTCGTTTAAACGTCTAGATCAACAAAACAGTTATAAAGCGTGTACTTTAGGTGTTTGATGTGTCTATATTATAATTTATAACCATTATTTTACTTCATACTCAAAATAAATCAAAATTAAAAAAAGTAAATAACAAAAATAGTCTGCCCGTGTAATAACAGAAAAAATGTTCCAACTTATATAATTTAATTATTATGTAGTGTACATGACATTATAGGAACTGGCAGATTTATCATGTATTTACTAGTTCGGCAGTGATGCAATGTTTTCCTAAAATGAAAACCACATAACATTTTTAACCTAAAATTATATATAGATTTCCAATCATGATGATGGCCAATTATTTTGTGCATGACCTTGAATGGACAAGAGAATGTGGGTAGGGTATGTGAGTTGTGATGTTACAAGGATTGTTGTTTTGGTAGGGGCGGTGTGAGCTGTAAATTTGTCATGCGACAAAGTCTATCGGTTAGACATGTTGATTCGTTATGCTTTTAAAAAATATATATATACTTATATTGTTAAATTTAATATTGTTGTGTATATCATTCCTTCAAGTATATTTTTAGTATAAAAAGTATAAGTATCAGTTCAAAAAATATGATTGAATAATAATTAGAATGGTCTAACATTAATTAATTTTGCAATGTGATTGTTGTTTTGGTTGGAGCAGAGTGCTCTTTTTTTCCCCAAGTGATGGTTTACTTGTAATTCAATAAACAATGTTTGGGTTTAAATTAATGATGTTATTTTCCAAGTTAGCAAAAATGAATGTACTTGCATGTAACTATAAAGTAAACTCAGTTGTACGAATTAATGTGTCAACCAACTAGTGTGATAGGAATATCACATAAATATATAATTAAAAAATCAGGATCTTGGCCACGAGTTAATGCGTTCACCAATTGCTATGACATGAAATTAACTCGAATATATAATTTAAATATTACGATACCTTGATATGTAGTTGATGGAGTCATGTTCATGTGTCATGATGAATTAGTGAAACAATTTCATGAAGTGACTTACCTAATTGTAAATTATATAAAAATATGTCACAACTGCACTAAAATTGATATTGGATTAAGTACATATGTATATATTAATCAATTAGTAGGTCTTGTGTTAGACCGGTCGAACCAATAGGCTGACATACTCTATTCATAAATATGCATTCCCATTATTAAATATCACTCTCCCAAAAATATCCTAAACATAAATATGACGATGTATGACATTTGATAGTATGAATATATATTTTTTATCATGAAGTTTGGCGGGTCGATCCATCTAATGATTAAGATGTCTCATCTAAGAATTTATGTTCATCAATATCCTTGAATCTACTCTTACAATTAATATACTCGGTATATTTTACAATGTATATTCAGCTCAAAATGTTATTACAATTTTTTTAATAGATTAATATAATGAAAATTGATGCTAATAAAAAATACTATTAACACAAAAGAAATATTTATAATTTAAATATATATTTTTATATATAAAATATGTTGATGAATCCGACTAGCTGTTAAACTGCATCCTATTTTTTTTTCCCCCCATTGTATGGTCCCATATCATGCATTGTATTTCCACCTTAGGGACCCCATGTCAATCATGTGAATAATTTTTGAGTTTAAATTGGAATAATAAAAAAAATATTTCATC